TGCTCTGAGCTAATGGAAAAGGTGAGTTTTTCAGGGTCGAAAACATGACTTCGATTTCGCGCTGTGAATGAATAATAAGATCTGCTCGCGCTAGTTGAACGCGTAAGCTTTTGCGCTTGTTCTGTAAAGAAAAGTTATGTAAGAAACTCTTTACTCTGGTATCGAGTTAATTTGTGAGTTTCCCAAACAATGCTTAATCACGAATAAACCCTGTTTTGATAGTCTTTTATTGTCTCTGTTTGTTTGACGAGTTTGCAAAAGTTTTTGAAAGGAAAGTCTGACGCGTACAAGTAGCTCATTTGCATACTGCAGCGCGTGCACTTTCAAGTCCGAGTCGGTGTTTTCAGTTCTCAACAAATCTTGACAAAGATTCTTTCGTTGTCTTTTGTGCCGAGATGCTGCAACAACTTTCACCAACGCCAAAAGGCTACTAACATCATCTGTGGTTCTTTAACATAGTGAAATTTTACACTGCGAAAATAAAATAGACAAGGAGTTTTGATAACTCAACCAAGAAAATCGAAATCTTTATTCGAGTTGATTACAGAAAGCGTCATCGTAATTTTGCTGATTATTTCTGCTGTATTCACATATTTTCAGCTGAGCTTTTAATGTTCTCAAACATTTATCAACCTTAAACATATTTAGAAACTCGAGATATTATATGAGTTCGATGTACGTTTTCACACGAAAGTGGCCATGGGGATGTCCAATTTGTCATGTTTTACTGACTGTACAAAACGCGCATCGGCGGGCGCTCTTATTCATCGACAATAGACAATTTATTGGATTTTTACACAAACAAAACTGAGCAGCATCTACAGACATAAACTTTATCATCACCTATTGGGCTTTGATAAAACGTCACGCGTTGCTTACAATTCAGACGAAACTCAAACTCGCAATTGTTATTATTTTTTTTTTTTTTACTGTTCGGTCGAGATAGACTCTGGCGAAATCCTCGCAAGCGTTTGGCAAGAGGAGGGAGACTTTGAAGTCCTGAAACGTTGCTATATCCAACTAGTTTTTTTGCTGTGTTTTGGAAAAGCTGTTAATCTTCAACATAAGTGAAACTTAGAGTGGAGTTATGTGGAGCTCTTGTAAAAGAAGCAGCGGAACACAACTTGGTCAGTGATATCATAAAGCGGCACATAACTAAATTCGACACTATCTTACTTCACTGAAACTGGAGCAGCTTACGACGAAAATACTGACGTAAAATTCCAACAGACATGAACGTATTGAGTTATGGCCCAAACGCATTAAACATTTCGGAATTTTCAGACGCCATTTCCCCGCGCTACATCCGCAAAAATCCTCGCAGTATGTACGCGCGTGTACCGCACATGATGGCGCAATTTGTTCTAAAAATAGAAAAATTGTCCCATATCATAGCGACAGCCCCAATACTAGAAACAGCGCGCTTACGGTCTCCGTCCCTGATTATGGCTCCTGTTTGTACACGTCAATTTACATTCGAGTAAACATTTTTAGAGGACACACGAATACTCACGAACCTAAAGGCGACTGCGTATTCCAAGAAAATTAAATTGTGAAGCAAGATATTTTATGGCATAACACGAGAGAGCGTTGTACATTTATTTTATCCCATGCCATAGAAAATACAGTGGCAAACGCAATGAATGCGACACACCCGCGGAGCACGGTGGGAAGGTTGGATGTAATACCGCCGAATATAAAACAGCTTTCATGTTTCTGACTGGCTGTATTCACTATGGCATAGTACATAAAAAGGCCTATTTCACCCCGTTTGGAATTTAAAAAAACCTCAAGTGGTAAGAGGTAAACATAGTATATATTTGTTTAGTGAAGTGTGAAAGAGACTTCGAACAGCGTCAGTAGCATTAAAATCATACGTTATTGAAATGAACCAATCAGAACGCCGGATTACACATTCCATACTCGACGCCATTTTAAGGACCGAGCGCTATTGGCCTTCTGATTGGTCCATTTCAATCGCGTGATCAAAATACTACAATCTGATTGGTTACGTGCCAAAGGCGCCCCCTATACTGCAAGCTTCGAAGAGCCTGGTATGGTCAGTTTCATTGAAAAAGGGTAACTTGGGCTGTAAATATTGAGAGTAATCAAGATATTTCTTTGCAGAACACTCGTCCAGTTCAGACCTCAAGGATCTCTTGTCTGAGCTAAATTTGCTGAAGAAACTTAAACCTCATCCAAACGTGATTCAATTGTTGGGCTGTTTAACAAAGGATGTCATTCGATGTAAAGGAGGGCGCGAGTTTAGTAAGTTTGAATGATAGAATTATAAGTGCAGCATAATTTTTACAAGCGACGGAGGCTGAAAAACATTAATGTTTAAAGTTGACATGATGAAAGCCTCGCCTTCATTCTTAAAAATTCGAAAAGCACAATGATAACCTCTTTACTATACAGCTAAGAATACGTTCTGAAGAGGGATGATGGAAAACTTTTCATATGCTTTAAAGGCCTAGGGAGGGTTATTCGCCTGTGCACACGTTTTGGCACGGGCCCAGTTTTCACTGATAAGAAGCGAACGAAAGTATTTTGACGTACAGACATGCGCCAAACCGTGAAACCCTCCCTTTAACAGCAGAAAGACACGGAAGTTTTGGACTTATAGTGTGCTGGGAATAAGGATTGATTTTCTGCCTGTGCTTCGGAATCCGCTCACGAAGTTTTCACAAGCAAAAGCGGAGTCGATGTCGCAATATCTTAACCACCCCGACTCTGCCGACCTTCCAACTCCGCTAACGATTCGATTTTTTGTTGGTTTTTTGTTTGTTTGTTTGTTTTGTTTTACATCATTGAACCCTATCCGGATCCTCCGATAACAGCCTCTTAGGTTGTGTTTTTTTTCTTTTTGGGTGGACATCCTAATACTGATTTGACTGTATATTTCTGTATATACAGGGCCGCCTCTTGTCATCCTGGAGTATGTTCCTCACGGAGATCTCCTGGGATATTTAAAGAAAAGCAAAGGAGAAACAGACAACTATTATAACTTGAGAAGCGCAGCAGCTTCACAGAAAATACCGACACAACAACTATACAAATTCGCGTCTGATATCGCTCGAGGAATGGAATTCATCTCGGATCACCAGGTCTGATTTTTCAAATCTAACTTACTACTTTAGTTATTTTTTTTTTGATCATGAATTACTCATCGTTTCGGTATTTTACAAAAAGCTATGAAAGCTATACAAAACATATACAGGGCATTTGCTTGTTGTCGCCATCAATTTGCTAGGGAAACCTTGGAAAATAGGTAGAAACTCTTACGTAAAGAATTAAATAGAGGACCTTTTGATATCAAGTAGATATCAAAGCCACTCCCCGCACAATTAATGTTTCATTTTCTTCATATCACGCTACTCCACCCCCTACGCTGATCGTTTTAATGCCGAATGTTACTTGCACCCGAAGCATAAGAAAAATGTGTTGATAATTCAGTAGCGGCCTTTGTTTGGAGCAATTTCCGACAAAGGCCGCTACTCAAAGCACTTTACTCCGTCTGAGTATGTCGGCTAATGTTTATGCTTATACTTACGCTTATACGTTAGCAAAAACCAACCGCTCGAGGGCGTGAGGTGAGCCGGCAGTTATCGTACTTTAGCGTACTTTAGTGTCGTGACTAATTCCGCACGGGTGGCATGTATCAGGAACCAATAAAGTAATATCAATTGTTTTCGGTATTTATATAAGCAGCCGTAATGTATGCGCAATGTGTGTGGAAACCAAGAGATGCAACGGTCGATTCGTGTATATTAAAACAAGAGTTATTTTATTTACCGCGACTCTACAGTATGGTTTGTAAATAAGTGGCAGCCTTTCTCGGTTACGTCCATTTAAACTAATGTAAAATTACTAACACCACAGGATAACACTTTTATGGTGTAAATGTATTTACCCGCAGCTCATTCACCGAGATCTGGCTGCAAGGAACGTGTTAGTTGGCGAAGGCCTTCGCTTTAAAATTACAGATTTTGGAATGGCGAGAGATCTGGGGAGAAATGAAATGTATGTCAAGAGGCCCAACGTAAGTAGGCATGCGCCATAAAAAAACCATCTTAAACGTGAAATTAGTATATTCTTGGAGCTATTTCCTTTTTAGTTTCCCTCCCATGCAGAGCCTCCACGGATTCCCCGTTGGTAATCCTTGAAAGTCAGGGCTTGGTACTCCAACCAATTCAACATTTTCACGCGAGCTTCCTTCGAGCTTTCTCTTTACAACTGCTTCGGCATCGCCCCTACCGATCCCATTTTTTGGCAGTTGATCCCTTTATTATTATCGCATGAAGTAGTAGTATAAGTATATGTAATTAATGCAATTAGAAATTCAAAAAAAAAAACAATGTAAATTACCATTTCGTCTTGTCTATATAACTATATTGTTAATTGTTAGATTAACGTTGAAATAAAAGGTACTTGCCCCTGAGGAGTCACTTTGAATCTGCCATTCACTCAAAGTTTTCGTAAAACTAGCTTTACACTTTCGTTTTAATTCACAACTCGAAAAAATCTTTTGTTCGATCTCCAGAACGCGGGTAAGACTCAACGTAGAAACATTACGTCATTTGTTGATTGCGCTTTTTGCGCGCGCCGGGTATAAGGCTGCACAAACTTCTTTCTTCTTCGCGTGTTCCATTTGAATGTTTTTTGTGCACGTTTGTTTAGACGATTTTATCCACAATTGCGTAGTGAACATGTTCTGTATTTTGTGTCAGGGACTGATGCCTGTAAAGTGGATGGCAGTTGAGTCATTAACAAGACAAGTTTATTCAACAGAAAGTGATATGTAAGTTCATCATCAAGTTTTTGACACTTTCACTCCAAGACTCAAAAACACCAACTCTCTTTATAATTGTCACATATTTATTTTACATGTTTGAGGTAGAAATTAAATTTGCGTTACGCATGACCTTGGTCAGTGGTGAGCTGCTTTTTGAAGAGGAGGAAATTCAGCTCGGTTGACGGTTGTTTGGATAAATATTTTAGGTACTGTTGAATCTGTTTGTAAAATAACTGGCAATAACTTCGCGCGCGCATTCTTCACTCCTGCACTGGCTCTCCCACAATAAGGGGGTCACCAAGTTTTACAGTTCGCGCGAGGTAGTTTGATATGTACTGAAACCTATGCCTGTTGTGGGGAGGTGAAGCGCTCTATAAGGCTCCGTCATTGCTTCACCAAGCACAGAATCGCCATCAGACGACAAGTATTTGATTCCCTCTTTCGCTTAGTTGAACATGACCGCAAGTAAACCTCGAGGAAAAAAATGCTCGCATGAAATTTTTTCCTATAGGTTTTCTTATGCGTCACGCACGATGGACTAAACGAAAGAGGGACCACTCGTAATCTAAATCGCCATAAAAACACAACTGTCATAAGGACAGATAAATTAACCATCGTATCAACTCATCACGGCAACCGTACTGCGCTGAGAATTTCAAATGCCATTCGGTTTTCTGTGATCTTTCCATGCCCTAAGTGAAGTGAAGTCAAGTGAAGTCAAGTGAAGTCAAGTGAAGTCAAGTGAAGTCAAGTGAAGTCAAGTGAAGTC